TTTGTATTTGCTTTTGTGTGTGCGTGTGTATGTTATTTTGTTTTTGCTATTTTTCACAAGCACTTTGCCAACATTTTGTTCATCAGTCGATATATGGTGGGCGTTCCGGGTCACACGCGTTTACCTCCTATGCACTTTTTCTTCACTTTTTTCCATTTTCAATTGTTTTGTAAATTTTTTTTACAAGCCTTTTTCACTTGCACAAACACGAGTGGCACTTTTGCTATTGACTTTTGGGGTAATTAAAATTTCAAATTGATTTTGCTGATATTCGTTTGCACTAGAAGCACTTCGACACCATCTTTTGGACTAATTTGAATTTCGTTATATGTTTTTTTTTTTTGCAAATTTATCTTAAGAATTTCTATTTCAGTGATTTATGCCTGCCCTGGTGTGCTGACATTTTTGCCTTTTATGTAATCCACTCATTTCACTTGGTCCTCAATTGACGTTCGTTCGCACACTGCCAGCGACGACAACGACGACTCGCTGAACCGCTGACTCACTGACTCACCGCTTGCCAAATGTGGCACATCACTGACGTTCATACGCGTACTCCGTTAGAACATGAGCAGCCCGTTAGCACCAGAGTCGCCTGGCACCAATAGCAGGCAAGCGCCGCACTGTGTTTTTTTTCTTCCTTTTGATTTTCGATTTTTTGCTATTATTTTGTCTTTCGCCTTTTTCTCTTATTCCATTTCTTTCATTGGTAATTTCAGCTGTTTACAAATGTAACGCTATTTGTTTTTATTTTTATTTTCCTTTGCCTTTTTTTTCTACACTCACAAACGGTTGCACATAAACAACGAATTTTTATTGGCGTAATAAATGCAGATATTTTGCGATGAGTTTGCATGCATGACTACGTGCATATGTATGTTCGAAGGTATGTATGCCAATCACAACACTTGGTACTAAATCGTATCGCATGCGGCACACAACCACTGTGTCTACCGCCGCAGCTATAGTCACTGCTGCTACTGCTACCAACGTTCGCTGTTGACTTTTAGACGGTGAGTGTTACGAAACGGAAACCACAAGCACCGAAGTATGTCGCTTTGGCAGCAAGTTTTATTCGTCATCAGCATCGTGGGCTGGTTGGTTTGCTGGTGGGTTGACTTGAATTAACTTTGCCTTGCCTGCGTTGGGCTTTTAGGACGCCGCAACGGCAGCGGCGGCCACAAATATTATAAGCACAACAAATATTAGCGCAGGTGTGAGCAGCGGCTCAGAATCTAGTGACAAGAGTGGGCATTGACTGAGGTCGTCCGACATGATTTCGCGTGTGAATTTGATTTGGTTCGATTTTTTTTTATATTATTTTTTTGAAATTTCTAATGGATTTTTTTTTTTACTTTATTGTACTCTTTGTACAAATTTTCGTGTTTTTCGTTTGATTATTTTCACCCAACTATTTTCCACTTTAATTATCCTGTTTTTTATATTATATGTGCCACTGTTGGCATTTACAATGAAAATACAGTTCAATGTTAATAACGAGCAAACTACCAATTGACCATGCGATTGAGTTTATGAAACTTTCTTTATGTTTGTTTGTGTATATGTGTGGGTTGAATTTTGTGCAGTGGCAGGATAAAAAAGCCTAATGAGAAAATATATTTTTTTTTGCAAAACCCAACGAAATCGCATGACTGTTTCAAGGATTTTGAAGTTAAAATTGCGACTAGCAGGAAAAATTATGAAAATATCATACAGAATAAATATGATTGCTTCGATATTTTGACAGCAGCCTATAGCTTCATAAAATACTGAAGAGAAGTGTTTGTAAAGCAAACATTAAATAACACGCACATCCTTTTCTTTGTTTTAAGCCCGTTGTTGACTGCTTTAGTCGCAAAGGTATGCAAAACTTTACAAAGTCATCATTCAAAACACTACGACTATGTATAAGGAATGTTATTTTTCCGCTTTAATATAAAACTGAAAATCATATCAGCTTTCAAAAACCGATAATTATATATAAATATTTTATATATGTACAAGCGTTTATATTCCTATTACATGAAATGCTCATATCTTTATTAGATCGCTTCCGCTGAAGCAAAATTAGGCCGAGCTCCTTCTCCAATCGGTTTTTCTAACAAATGAAGAGAGCCACAAAGTACTGTAAGTCGCTCCCGAAAAGCTGGTGTTTTTTATGTGAAGTTTTTATTTCATATCGAATATATATTTGGGTGATTGATATTTTTTGGCGAGAGTTGACCGCAATGAACCAAATGGAATTTCTATAATTTTGAAAGTTGGTCTGACCAAGAACCCATGACCGTCCCCACGCAAGGTAATTAATATTACTATGATTGAACCAAATTTAATTCCTTGATTTTATATTATTAAATTTTATTTCCATTTGTTGGAAAAACATCAATACGCAAAACCACAAATTGAAGGAGCAGCTCGGTAGAAAATCGCGCTAAATATATATATATTATTTTCTTTTAAATATTTTATTTCATTTTATATTTTATTCTCTTTTTTTCACTTTATTAATTTTATTAATTTTATTAATTTTATCTAATTTAGAATAATAAAGATCTATCTAATTTAATTTCAATTATATATTGTTTTGGAATAACCTATTTCATTTGATTTTTTTTGTTTATTTCTTTTCTTTTATATTATTTATTATATTTAGATTTCATTTTATTTCATCTTTATTTTATTTGGTATTTAAAGTTGTTTGATTTTATTTTATTTCTTTAAAAATTATTGATTAATTTATTTTGCTTTATTTTTTTTTTTTATTTTGACTTATTTTATATTTGATAAATGAAGTTATTTATCTTATTTTAATTTGTTGTATTTCTTTATTTTATTTTGCAGTTATTTTATTTGGTTCTACTTTTGTAAAATTTTATTTCATTCTAAGTTATTTTATTTTTCTGGTATTAAAAGTTTTTTTATATTATTTCATTTTTTTTTTAATTTTCTCTTATTTATTTTATATTTTAGTTTGTTTTTTTATCTTATTTTAATTTATTTTATTTCGTTTTATTTTATTTTATTTTATTTTATTTTATTTTATTTTATTTTATTTTATTTTTTTTTATTTTGTTTTATTTTATTTTATTTTATCTTAAATTTATTTTATTTTGTTTTATATTATTTTATTTTATTTGACTATAGTTTTTCATTTTCTTTAATTTAATATATTTTAATTTGTTTTATATTATTTTATTCTATTTTATTATATTTTATTTTATATTTTTTTATTTTATTTAGTTTTGTATTTTATTTTATTTTGGTGTATTTTACTTTACTTTGTTTTTTCTACATGGTAATATAAATATTTTGCCCTTAATGATATTACGTATTGGTAAGAGCACACTTACACACAAACAAACTAATGTGGCATGTATGTAATTTCAGTTTGCACGTTTAACGTTTGTTTTTTCTTTACTATTTTTTTATTTAAATTTAAAATTTTTCATTTTCACACGACATCTCTTACTCCACACGATCCATACCAACATGGCGTATACGCAACATTTACATGATTGTGTTTTGTAGTGTATAATTTTCAGCTATCATACGCCCAGTAGTACCACTGCACAAAGCTTTGTGACGAAGGTGAGTAATTTCAATAAATTATTATTTTTTGTGCGATGCGTTCGTATTCTTATATTAGAGTGGTCGGTAAAATTTTTTTCGGCACACGGAAATACGTTCCATTTGAAAATATTCAAGTATATTTCTTTCCTTTTTTTTTGAAACCTTGAGCAAATATTTTTTAATTTAATTTTCTCTATTTTGGTTAATCTTTTATAACTCATTCATAACAAATCTAAATTCCAGTTGGAAGATTTTTGAAACAGTATTTATCAATCCAAGCTTCCGTTGATATGTTCTATAATAAAATGAACTATATTTGAACTATAAGTATTAAAAAATCATTTAATGATTTCTGAAACTCTATTAAAAGCATGTGATCATTGGAAATAAATATTTTTACTACCAGCCTAATGTTAATATGTGTATATTTATGTTTATATACATTTGTATGTACGTATGCTTGTGCACTTATTTGATTAATAAATTTGCGTACAACAGTACACATAACCGTGTTTTGCGCTTCGCTTTGCTACGCCAAAATATTTTACGTGCTGAGAGTCTTTGCGCATTTCCCCTTTGTATTTTTTCCGACGCTTAATGATTTTCACGTTTCTTTTATTAACCTTAGTGGCCTTCTATGCGACTGCACTTGTCATTTCATAAGTGTATTTTTACACTTTTTCACATTCTGTGTGCCGAGTGAAGAAGGAGCATTTGGCTCATGTGTTTTTTCCCTAATTTTCTTACTTTTTATGTTTTTATCTTTCCCTTGATTAGACGCTTTTAATACTTCCTCTACGCACATTTTTGCATTTCCCCCTTCAATGTCACTTTTATTTGGTCCGTTTTATTGCTTTGACTTTGTAAATATTTTATATATTGTGCTAGTGCCGAGTTAAAGCTAAGCTGCTCTAGATTGTGTATATGCATACACATACATTTGGTTCTACAAATAAGTATTGTATATGATATATACCAATGGAGAATATTACGCCATTATATATACATACATATAGCGTGACATGTGCATGGCAATTCCTAGCTAAGTAAGCTGCTTTCTATATGTGTATATGTGCATGTATGCTCGTTCTTTAGTCCTTCAAAATAATAATACAACTCTTTCGCTTCATATATGCTTCCACTCTGCCCTTTTTCCATTTTTTTGTTTGTGCAGATATTATCGCATCGCATACGAGCAGCACAAAAGTACTTCAGGCAATGCCAGCCACTCACTGCCTTTACCACTTTATTTCAATACTATATGCAATCATCTACACTCTACACGCTCACCCCACTCACACCTGATTCTATTTTTATGAACCTGTATATAGATTATTAATTTTTTAATAGCTCGTTGATTTTACAACTGAGAATCGTTGCATTAAAATTTATTTTATTCTTATTTTCTCTGCGCTATCTTGCTTTCATACTCTTCTTTTTCCATTATTTATTTAACACAACTTTTTCATTTGTGTTCCATTTTAGTCAATTCCCTCGTTGCGACCTGATTGTATACTATATGCGGTGTAATGTCTTCAGGTCGTGGTAGTGTTTAAGTGCAAAACCTTTTGCCACACAAACACACAGACACATTACGATGGTGGTCGGTGGTCAATTCAACGGACCACACACTACTTATACTACTAAGGTCTTTATGATATGAATCGGACTGTGTCGAACGTCTGCTTTTAGATTAAACTCTTCACTGAAAGAACTAATACGCGACTAGAATGTGGTGCCCAGAGAAAAGTGCATAACCGCTAATGGTAGCCCAGGCTGAGGTATTTTTGAAGAGAATATGTCTTGGTTGAACGGAAAAGTGTGGAAAGCGAGAGAGAAAGAGAGAGGGAATGGAAAAGCTTTGACTCTGATTGAGCACAAGTGGATTTTATGCTTTCCTGTTATATTTGGAGCTCTAACCAATTGTCAAATCTGACGTTTTCTCTTACAAATCTCAGCTTAAGTACTCAGAAATGTAAACATTATTGTGTCAAAAGTGACACTTGCATATGTTCAACCAAAAGTAATCTGAAAAACATGGAAAAATTACCTAAATTTCTATTATAAAAAGGAATAAAAGATAAATAACTTTAAATTATTTCTTTAAAAATATACAAATTTTTTTCCATTAAGTTCAAAACCAAATATATAATTATTCACACTTTCACTCAAGTCTACACTTAAGTTGTATATATATTTATATTTATATTTATATTTATATATATATTTATATTTATATTTATATTTATATTTATATTTATATTTATATTTATATTTATATTTATATTTATATTTATATTTATATTTATATTTATATTTTTATTTATATATTAATATAGAATAATTTAACTTAAGCAGAATTCAAACATCAAATATCAGTTTTTAAAAATAAAACTTTTTGGTGTGGCAATGGATTATTAATATAATGTCTGCCAGAATCGACATTTTTCTCTACTAATGACATTTGCTTACCGTTTCTTGCATATTACTTTCCAATTGTTGTAGTTGAGTATATTAAAATATTGCGGTTAAAGTTGTCATGTATCCACAAACTGGATATTTTCAAGCTTTTCCTAACTGATGAAAGTATTCAATTACATTTGTTTACAAGAGAGAGAGAGGGAGTGAGAAGAATAGCAGTTACACTTTGTGAGAGTGCTACTCATCAGTGGTCGCACCACTCATATCTACTAGTGCTCAGTTAATTGTGCTGAAAAGTTCCATTCATCAATATTTGTTTACTTTATGTGAGCTGTCAAAAGTGACATTTTCATTCAATGCCGTCATTTCGCTTTCAGAGTTGTGTTCTTCCTCTTTTCCTTACTCTCTCTTTCTCTCACTCTCTCTCTTTCTCATGTCGTCCATAGCTCTCCAACAAAACTTACTCTTTTCTCATATTTAAAATTTCCACTTAAGAGAGAAACGAGAGATTTTGGGAGAAAAATTTCAAAACATGTACTCAAGCTTAATACTTAAAGCTTATTGCTCAGTTACGCTCGACTTTTGACACAGTTTTTAATTTAATTCAATGTACGTCATCTTATGTGACCCAGCCTAAGCTAATATCAAAAACGGAGTTGAAGAATGAGTGTGTGATTTGTTTTCTTACGTTCATTATAAATTCAGTTGCTACGTAGAAAATAAAGACTATTTAAAGAAATAATTCCATTTTATATATAAAAAATATCGAAACAACTCAGAGACGGCATTTCAGTTATAGTTATAGAGCTGCTCAGCAATTGTTGTTTTTTCTATGAAGTTTTATTTTTACGGAACAAATAATTAAAAAATTGTTATGTTGATTAAGCGCAACATTTTGCTCCATTTATATACATTTATATGTTAAAAACTTTATACTGCTCCTTATGACTCATTGTTTGGTATGACAAGATACGAAAGCAGCAAGGTAAAGAACAAACATGAGCTGATAGGCGATGACGTAAAATATGGCAAAAGGACATGCTATGACCAGATGCCAAAAACTTCTCTCTACTACGCACATTCCCCCAAAAGAGCGGTTGCTTCTCTCAAAACTTTTGCTAACTTTCATACTTTTCTTATATTACTCTCATCAACTAACCAAATTAATAATTTTTCGCTCACATTTTCTTTCAACACGCTCTCTGCTACACTCATATTCCGCTACTCTCAGATCTGCTTGCCACTCAGCATTCACACATTCTTACTCAAACGCACCTCAACATTAAATATGTAAAACCCACTGACAGCCGTCACCGTTTGTGGATGACATTCCGTTTTGGTCGACATATTTTTGGGAAAAGGACCTCTCAGAAAAGGTGGAAAACAAGTGTCAGTCTGCTCGTTGCGCACAAATCATCACATTGTACGCTCTTTGAACGTGGAATTTTCTCGTTGCTTGTGTGTGGCATTAAATATTTCACTATTATTGATATTTCTTTGTTGAACTGAGCAAAATTTTTTTTATTTTTCAGAAAAGGAAAATGTATTTATGCCCATGCATTGCATTCAAAGGTGATTAATTTGTGTTTCGATGTGAAGTGTTGCAAAGTTTACAATAACAAAAATGGCTAAAAAGTAAGTGCCAGAAATGATTTCATAATAACAACTTGAGTGTCGACAAAAAGGAGGCCATCAAACCACGAAGAAAAATAAAAGAAAAATAAAAAGAAGGTGTAAAGAAGCAAAGCACATGTACCTGCACATACTGAACTTAATACGTGTATAAAATGAATGAAATTATATTAGAATATAATTAAAAAAGCACTTAGTAAATAGCGCAAAAGGTCGACAGCGCTGCGGTTGGAGGGAAAAATTGCAGGCCAAAAAAACGCAGGTTAGTGCGCTTGGGGCCATCCAATGATGTGCACGTAGAGATAAGATGCAATTTCATAGCACAAATGTGCATACCAATAAATGTAAGTATGGTGAGAATAAGAAACAGAAAGGAATCTTGAAAATAAACGTAAAAGTAAGGTTTGAAGTTTTTCTTGTAATATGTTAAAATTACCGAGAAAAAAAAAAATATTTTATCTGCGTAAATAAACAGCGTTTGTGTCTTTCAGATTTTGGGAAATTGTATTCTAGACTTCACAAAGATTTTCAAAGAAATTTAATACTCGTAATCATGGCCTGCGGTGTGTGCATACAATAGGAAGCTTATTACTTCAGTCAGATCTACTTTGATGATAAGAAATTACTTGGCTAAGAACACATGAATGAGTGACTAATACTAAAAATAATGTTTTCTATTATGTTCACAATATTGTCCAAAGTTAAAAATGCTAGAAAAATGCATTAAATGAAAATTGTTCATCATACGCCGTGGCGGTCCGGTTCTGCTAGTCACAAGTGCTTATTATTTTACGGTTTCTATTCCCACGTGACTCATTTGATACTCATGCTTTGACGCTCGTAGTATACTTATTTTATGTTGAACAGCTTTCTCTTTTCAGTCATGAATTTATTTACATTTATTCACGCATTAATAGCTTTCATTTGCGGATGTTTTTTAGACATACAGGTATAGGTTTCAAGAAGAAATAAAAGGCATATAATTTAGTTTTATTATAAAGCTAGGGGATTGCCATTAAGTTTTGAAATTGAGTTCTGGCAAGTGATTGTTGCGGCTGACTCGATAAATACTAGCCGAAATGGCCAATTTTTGACCACTTTTTGCTTTGATCAGTGCGTACATCAACGAGAGATAATGCGCTCACCAAAAGTCTGCTTTAATAAATTTGTTAAAACCAAAGGTCGTCCATATTAACATCTTCAACTCCGACACGAAAAAGTTACTGATCTTAATTATATCGCGGTGCCCATGGAATGTAATAGTAAGTTTTCTTGGCTTTATTTTTGAAGAAAATCTACCAATGAATCCCTCTCTACCCACTGAGCCCACCAACCAATGGCTTGTTGAGGATAAAACGGCGTCTAAGCAATAGCTTGTCGACTATCATCACTCCAAATGCGACAATATTGCTTATTAAGGTACCCAATTCAAACAAAAGTTAGCTTCATTGCTGAACAAAATATTCATGTGAAAATCGGGATCGGTGGCCATCTCGTTTTGGGCCCATTCGCCGAACGTGCGATGCGGTTCATGGTCGTTCGACTTCAATTCTAGCAAGAGTTGGATATTGCAAGCCGGCAAACCAAGATAATTACGCAGAATTTTCCATTAAGTATCCCTAGCCACCTGGGATAAATACAAAGAAATCTTTCTGGTAACCTAAAAAGCACAGCAACCTGGGCACCGCGGCAGGAAACCTCCTGATATCGCCTGAGCATCACTTGCACTGTGAAGCTTCTAAGCTAATACTTTGCATCTTATAACCTCCATCCAGCCACATCAGAAAGTGAATACTAGATTTAAAGGAAACTATTAAGCAATAAATTCAACAACTTCTAGACAAGATGGCATGCCAACGTATGTCCTACATGTAATGGTTCCTTGCACGACACTCACCACCTCTTTACATGCCATCGACGCATCTAACACCGCTCTTCCTTTAGTCCGAACCCGGCAAAACAGCTTGTTTTCTGGACCTTCCGTTAGATGACTTCGGTGACTTAGACTAACTTGCCTGTCCCTAAGCTCTAGCCACGCTAGTGGACCGTTACAACAACAACGACAACTCAAGCTCTTGTAACGCAAACCATGTTTTTTTCATCAATACAGTTAATTTCTTCAAAAGACTGAAATTCAGGTTGGTCCGTTAGGTAAAAATTGGAGGCTTGGGCTAATCTGTGTTATCATATTGACGTTTATAAGCATAAATATAAATAATTTGCATTTTGTAACCACTGGAGCAATTCCGCCGATCTCCTGCTCCAATTTGTGGTTTTACGTCTTGATGTTTTTTTTCCAACAAATGAAGGGACCTACAATTTATACTAAGCCGCCCCCGAACGGCTAATGGTTTTTTTTTATGAGGAGCTCTATTTAAGCATAAATACTTCTTACTTATTTGTCCCACACATTTTTTGTGGGTTTTAAGTGCGACGTCCATTTCATTAATTACATGAATGCAGGCAGTAATCTTATGGAAATTCTGTGGCCCCTCCTTGTAAACCACAACAAACATTTGCAACATTCGAATGTAGTCTCTGCCATTAATTCGAGATAAAATCCCCTCACACCATTACAGAACCTCTTTCGCGAGTCTCTTCAATCGAATCGGAAAACCAACTTGTCCATTAATGTTCTATTTTCCGTCCGCGGAGATCAAATGCACAACAAATAAAGTGAAACAGATGAACTTGAGCATGAAGAGCAAAGAGTTGCTGTGTCCCAATTGGGGCATACGTGTATGTGTTCTTCTGTAAGCTGTGAACGTACTTGCCTGTGTCGTTCTTTCATCAATTATGATTAATTCAAACACTTGCAGCGGCACGGGGTACGCCAAATTAGTGTTTTTCGACACCTTATTATCCACAACAGCGACCACGTTAGCGCACGACCTGGTAGAGAGTTCGACGTCAATCTGATTATTTTTCAGTGATCTCGGTGAGAAAGTGCTGAAAGTTTTATTTATGTAAGGCATTGTATTAAAAAATATCCCCTACCAAATGAATGTATTTCCTCTTAAATTACGGTTCAATCTCCATCAGTAAGTTCGTGTACTGGTGTCTGCGCTAATTTGCTGCAATGCAGATTTCTTGGACATGCATCGGTGTTGGATCGATAAAAATATCTAATAAAATGCCTGAGTAGTAAATAACTGAATAGTATTCCAAAAACAAAACATGATGAATGTCATCAAACTTATAAATTACAAAATCCATCAAAAACACAACACGATGCTCAACAAAAATAACAACTTTAATAAAAGCACAATTGATGAGAAAAGAACAGTACTTTATTCAGGCATATACATATAAATGTATATACTCGTATATATATTTAAGTATATACTTGTAATATAAGCATCGACCCAGTAAAAGTACACCCCAGAAACACATTTATAAGAATCCAACAATAAAAATTGAAAAAAATATAACACACACATATAAACATAGGACAAATAATATGAATCAAATGTAAGCAAGTAACGAAGCTAGCGGACGGACAAAAAATGCTTGTGCTTTATTGCCAAATGTCATGCAATGCCGGGGCCAAAAAGCAAAAGTTAGTATGAACGAGTTTTGCACAAAGTAAGACAGCGCCAAGTTGGCCAAAAACTGAATGGGAAAGTGCTTTTGGCCTTTGCCATGAGCAAGTCAGGCAGGCAGGCAGACAATCTGGAGGCAGGCAAGCGAAATGTACTCGTATGCAGCGCATGAGCTGGGCAAGTGGCCAGCGAAAAGTATGCTGACAGGCAATGGAATGTCAGGACATCGAAAAGAGTAGTCAAATGAAAGATGAAAGAAATTCTAATGTGAAATCCGAGAATTGCTATCGATTTATTTTTTTTACTTGCGCTGTTTGCGGAGAGCAGCGCATGAGCACTTCAACGCTTGCCACAGAGCTTTTGTAGCACTTTCAAACACATAGTTTTATTTTTGTATGCTTTAGATGTATGTAAACATGTATGTGTCTACACACAAACATATGCGTCGCAATCTCAGCTGTGTTCCAAGGCATTTTTATGACGAGGCGACGCTGCAGCCACTGCCTGTGCCTCATACAGTTAGGCTTATGTAGAATACAATATTCGGTTGCCGTTCAGACATTTCGCAATACACACAACATACTCATATTGCCCGTGGTCGGAGCGGTGCAAAGAATACGAAGCGTAAAGACGAAAGGAAAAATCTGTGCAAAAGTGTTTTTCAATTTAGAAAATTTATTAACAAATTTACAAAAACTAAATAAAATATTAATTTCAAGTATTTGGTGGACTTTGGAAAGTGCGAGGAAAGCAAAGGCGTGTGTGCATGTTTGTGGTGTAATGTGTCAGCAGTAGGACTTGCCTCGGTGCAGCTGTACCAGCCAGCCATAGCAGTGCCAGCGTTTCGGTGACCCAGTCGCAAGCATATAAGGCCACATTCTTCAACGGCAGTCAACGGGTTTAGATATTGACCTCTATATTGATGTATATATGAGTGCACTGCATGTGCGTGTGTGTGCAAACATTAATGATTATTTTTTATTTTCCAACGTCAAAGATTTCAAATGCTCAAATAAAATTTATTTCGGTACAAGAAAAGAATTGAAACACACACGAGCGCTGAAAATCAAACAACAGCCAATCCAACGACATCCCACTGCCCGTTTGGGGAAAAATCAATAATTTGAGAAATAAAAGAGAACAACACAACTCTTCAGCCGTAAAAGTGTATTAAAAAATGAAATGAAATCAAGTGAAAGCAGAAGAAAATAAATATTTATAGAACAAGAAGCACGCAAATTATATAATTCATAAGAAAAAGTTCGGAAAAGTGTGTGGGAGCGGCTGCAAAGGATTCGCATTTCAGGCCACAGCTGCTCGTCTATAAAAGTGTGCTTCTTTCTCATTGTTTGTGTGTGTGTGTGCGCGTGTCTGTGAGTGTGTGTTACACCAACAGCTATATATTGCAATCGATATACTCTACTTGGGGTGTAATAACAAGCAAAACAACAACAACATCGACAAACATACATTCGTGCACTGAACGTGCCAGTAGCTTTTCTACTTTTACACCTACGCAATTTGGTAAAGCAGACGAATATAAGTGGACGTCGGGTAGTTTGGAGAAGTTTCTACAAAAAAATAATTACTTTTTCGAGAATTTTAGAAAGTAAACAAAACAAAAGAGAAGAAATTTTGTACTAAAACAACAACAAAGCTTCAACTACAACTAATTTAACTGCCAAGCAACAAAAACCTAAAAAAAACACACACCACACACACCTTCCCGCGACGTCGTCACCACCAACAACAAAAAAAAAAAGCAGCCGAAAAAGCAGTCGAAAAAGTAGAGAAAGAAAAATAATAATTTTCCCAGCTACAAAATGGGCAAGAAAAAGGTGCCCAGTGAAGACCTCATTGTACCGCCACAGGATACACGTATTTGTGGCACAATTTGCGTTTGTCAAATGACACTCGTACTCAGCTCGGTGGCGCTAGTGTATCTAACGGTTGCCATTTACATGCCATCAACGCGCGCCTTTAAGAGCGGCATCGATCCAACGCCCGTCATGTGCACCACCACACGCGCCGTCAACAAGGACAATTGCGAGTGGGGTTCGTGCGGCGAGTGGTGTCTGAGTAAGACGTCTGGCGCCTGCATACAAATCTATGTGAATCTCCGTACCAACGGCACAAATCTCACTTTTCAGAATTGCACGAATTCGGCGAATAAAACGTGCTATGGCATCGATCAGGATCGGGCGGATAAGGCGCGTTGTATAAATGATGAGTGTAAAAATTTGACGGGCACATTCAATTGTACCGAGGGTCAATGTTTGAATATCACCGATGCGTTTGAGTGTGTGTTCAAGAACAGTGATTCGCCGGTTAAGTGTTCGGGTCGGCGGGGGAAAATCAATTGTATGGATATTAACGGTTTGTTTTCGTGTAATCGCGGCACGTGTCGCAAGATACGCACACCATACAATTGTGATCGCCGCTGTGTGGACATACCAACACGCAATAAGAATGTGGTGGTGTTGAGTGGTGATAAAGTGTATTTGTCGCAATGTCAGAATGCCATAAATGCAGAGACTAAAGAGGAAGTGTGGAACGAATCGGCCGATAATGTGGTGATGGCTTCGTGTTATTTCATAAAGAACACTTCGGATCGCGTCGAGGCATTGGACTGCATTAACGGCTCGACGCTTGAGCATAATATGCTAACGGATCTTACGAATTTCACTTACCTAAGTCATTTGCACATATCGGTTTCGGTGCCCACACCGGAGATTGCACCACCTGACTTTGATTTGACCATTTCAAATGAGTCGAAGCTCATGATCAATTTGGAGGGTTGTGTGAATACGCTGATGGATGAATGCAAAGAATTCTTGAAGGATTTCGGCCGTGATGGCAGCGATCACAATGCACGTGCACGTTTCCCCTGCTTCTATTCGCCATCCAAGAAGGATATTGTTGTTGCGCGCTTCGACTTGGAGGTCACTTATAGGCAATTCGTCATTGCCTCGGTAGTGCCTTCGGTGTTGTTCGTCGTCTCGTGCTTGGTACTGCTGCTCTGTCAGAAGACCGTATATGTGGGTGATGATGCAAAAATGCGTTTCAAGGGTTGTGTGGACACGGATACGATATTGGCGAAAAATAATATAGGCTCACAAACCAATTTGGGCGATACTGGTGGAGGGGGCGGTGATGATGTTATGGCACTATGAGATCCGTCACGTAAGAATGCTAATTAACAACTATTGCCTGTTTATTTAAATTAATATGTCGCAAAGCAATTGTGAACGAGAAAAAAACTTTTGTTTTATTTTTATATCATTTTGTGGTGGCTAAGCGAAGAATTGTAAATTGTAATTGCTTATTTTACACTTGCAGCATACTTTCAGCTACATCAACGTGGATTGAGACCTGAAAGTTCGAATATTTATCCACATTTTTGAGCACTTGTGCTGTTGTTACGTACACACATAAACAAGTATATTGTCTGTAAGCATCATTGTTGATTTATTGCTGGTGTAGGTGTTCTCCAAACATGAAGACATTCTTTGTATAAACACAGTAGTAAAGTAGGAGTAGTAAAGTTTCTTAAAAGCCCCCCTGTAGTTGTATGTATTTAGCTTGACCATGAAAGCTTAGTTACTTTTAAAAGTTCATAAGAAACAGTAATCCAATAGTAAATTTATTCAAACTTCATTTATTTCTTCCAATACATAGTAGAAAGCTTCTAATTTTGTAGGAAAGCACAGAGCTTTCGTCTTGTAAACTTTCAATGTAATATGTGTATTTGAAAGTGCCACCGTTGTTTGCAGTTTCAGTAAATAAATCGCCATTTCGAAATATTTCTCATTGTTTTTGAAAACTTTATGAAAGCTTCGAGCTTTTATAGTATGAAAATTTAGTCAAACTTTTTCTTAACATTATTATATGTCTGTCTCAACACATATTTGAACATTGTTTATAGCTTAACATTTTAGAAGTATTATATATGGACTGTAGTGGAGCTTTCATTGAAACTAGATATTCAGTATAATAAAAATAGTATGTTAGCGAAACGTAAAACACATTTGAGGTTTTTTTCTTTGAGCTGAAATATTTTTCAAGTAGTTGCACTTTTTGAAAGGTTTATGCGAAAGCTTAGACCATACAAAGCTTTAAACTTTCATTATATGAAAGTAGAGCTTAATTTTTTAGTGCAATAGCAAATTTATTCACTCTCCATTGCAATGCATAACTGAAAGCGGTTTAAAGAAATTCTATAAACATTGCAATATCGTGAACCATCTTTTGAAAATTTATCTATTTAGTACAAGTATTTGCCATATGTATTTATACGAAACCTAAGACTGTGCAAAAGCTTCGAGCTCTTACAAGATAAAAGTTCTTTGAAATATTTTTCAACATTTTAAAGGACTATGGAACAGCGTAACTTAGGTATATCCTTTGATTTAATTTTTTGAGAGTTTTGAGCTTTCATCAAGTATTTAAAGGCGAACATTATACATACATATATTATCACAATAATTTCTTTCTTAATAAATAGACTCGTAGTTGTCGGGAATAGATTCCAACATAATTTGTTTGGTATATGTCGAAGCTTATAAAAACCTTTGTAGAATAGTTCATAATGTTAAAAAAACTTAAATTATAGATATTTTATGTAAATATATTTAAGTTGGTTACTTCAATTTTTTTATAAGCCATCCTAGAAAAAAATTGACAAAAGTTTTCAAGATATAACCTCAAAATAATTATAAATAAATATTTAATTTAAATTGATTCAATGGAATTCGAAGCAAAAAATAGAAAGCTAAATTTTATTTGTGCTGAAAAGTATTCATCAGGAGCTTTCATAGCTTTAATTATGACCTTACAGCAAGCTTTTAAAGCCTAGTTTTCAAACGTTTAATGTCAATATTTGAAGACTGAAAGAGTGTGCTCAAAATTAAAACTAAAGCTTTATATTAAGCTTTTTCAGGAAATTGAAAATATTCATTGGTTAGCGAAAAAACGGTTAGCTAAGTTTTAGAATGCAAGTGGTGTTTAGCGCCTTTAACGATAAGTCTAACAGTTCGACTTGAACTAAAATTGAACACAAGAAACACAGTTACACAAAAACGAATAGAAAAAGCTTCTCAATAATACGTGCAGAGAGCGCAAAAACGGTAACTCAAAACTCTCCATCAAGAAATTAAAAAAAAAAAGATGTTTCCTTGAGACGTGTTCCTAAGGAGTCTAAGGATCGAAATAATAAATAAAAAAAGAATATGGGAGATCTTCTTTTAAAGTTTAAGTCTTTCAAGCTAAAACTATGCGCTCGGAAATTTTTATGTATTTAGTTATTTTATTTCTAATTTGGAATTTGTATATCGTACATATATACATATATATTTAGCGCATATATCGCTATAAATATGTTACAATGTAGAATTTCTCGATTTAGATTTAAAATCATGGCAAAAGAGACATCACTTTTAGTATTCATATAACTGTATATTTAGAAATTATAAATTACTACTTTCAACTTTTTCCTTACATATTTATGTAGTTAATATTATAACATAGTTACATGTACATATATGTGATATATATCAAAAAAAAATCCTCCATTTAATATTTAATATTTAAATTCTAAACATTTTCTAGGCATTCCTCTGCTCCAAGAAGACAGTCCCGTACATCAGGCCGGTGTGTTTGCCATGCAATAAAGCAAAGGCAAACATAACAACAACAACAACAACAACAACAACAACAACAACAACAACAACAACAACAACAACAACAGCAACAACAAGTGTTGTACAAAGACACTCATTTCACCAATTCAAATCAAGAAGAAACCAAGAAAAAACGAAAAACAAACATAAAAATATATTTTCTTCAGCCCAAAAAAAAATAAAATAAAATAAAACAAAATAAAAAACAAATAAATAAACACATTAATTAAATTTTACTACCCGCAAATTGCGCTTGACCACAGCAAAAGAGACATACATATATGTATTACAAAGCAAAAAAAGAAGGTTGATAAAGCAAAAATATCCACAAAACGCAAATAGCAAATAACAATCAAGTTAACCAGAAAAGAAAATCACACAAAATTTGCTGTAATAAATTCTCCATACAAAATTACCACTATTTATTTAAATTTACTAGTTTTTATGCACGCAACATACCAAAGTAGTAGAAAGTTTACAACAACAACACGAAGGGACAAAAAAGCGTCTTAAAAATAAATTAAAAAAAAAAGAAATTCATTCTGACAATATTAGATTTACAAAAAGCGTGAAATTATTATAAACAAGAATAAATCGTAACTCAACGATTTAACGATTTTTGAGCAAAAAACAAAAACTTTTTAATAACTAATGTTGTAAATCAATGTAAAATCAAAAAGAAGAAATTGTCTTTTGTTACTAAGCAAAATGTAAAAAAAATTATAGGAATCCTTTCACAGCATAATTCAATTCCTAGGCAAAAAAATTATATATTTTAATAGATTTAAATTGAATGTAATTTTATTAAAATGAAAATCTCTATATTCAAGCGCTTATTGCACTAATTTCGTACAAACGGGCACTCTAAATCACACACACACACTTAAAGGCAGTTCACCAATACACGCACACGTTCATATACACACACTATACGTTATATATATATATACACATAAATTCACTTGTTAAAGAAAGTCAAACGGTTTGGAGGGATGCGTGATCAAGAAAATAAATAAGAAAATTTTGGTACAAACAAAATAATAAAATATATTTAATACAAACTCGAAACAAAAACGACGGACAAACTACAATAATAAAACAACGGTACGAACATAACGAACATACACACGAACAGAAAACTAGAAGTAGCGTATAAATAGTAAAAATGAAATAACAAATTGATTTTGGACTTGAAGGCAGTAAAAGGAAAACAGTTAAAAAATTATTCCAAGAAATATAGAGAAATTAGAAAAAAATAGTAGAGCTGCTGAAAATGGTGAGTAAATATTTTGAAAAAACACAAAAATAAAACAGTTTGAATATTTAATTAATTAACATAAAAACTAGAGCAAAAAGGAGTTATCATAGGATTAAAAAAAAAATAAATAAATAAAAGTTAATAAATAAATAAAAAATCACCGACGACAAAACGAGACAAGAAAAAATTTAGTAGAAAAGACAAAAAAAAGAACGTTGTTGGTGTTAGTAACCACAATCACACAGAAAACAAATAAAATAAAAATTACAACTAAAGACCTTTAGCTACGCACGAACAATCGAACACACACACGCTCACTAAAAACAAATACAAACAACCAATAGCGTCGAGCGTCGACATAATTGGTTTAGCGAACCAATCAAACACATAAAATTTATTAGCGATAATCAAAGAAAAAAAAAACAACAAAAACGAGTGTAAAGCACGATTGTAGGAAAAACGAGTTTAGCATCTCAAAATGAAGAAAAGTTCGACAGCAACGACGACAATGTCACTACCAACTAGTCCGACCATTTCGGCGCACACCATAACCGGCAGTAAGATAAGTTTAAGTAGCACAAAGACAGCTACTTCGGGTCGTTCCAGTCGTTCGAGCATGCAATCGCCACAAAAGAAGAAGAAGAGCGATCTTGAATTGGAAACGATATTGGAGAAGGCGAAATTTTATACATCGTTGTGCCTTGGTGAGTAGCCATCCGTGTATGACAATACTTGCGCTGCCCTTCGCTCAGCTATTGTTGATCAAGCCCCAACGAGAAGGCAACCAAAACAAACATCTGATCTCTTTTTTTTTTACCTATTATTACACTTGGAGTATTTTATTCATTTTTTCTTTCTCCTTTCACCCACAGGAACCACTGCAATACTGTCGGTTTTTGCCTTTCTCTTTTTAATACCCTTCGTTGTGGATCCGGCAATATCAACAATAATCGCAGATTATGATCCTGTGCCAGTCACATGTGTTGTCATTGATCATGTCTATGCGGAGGGCATAAGAAATTGTTCGTGGAGTTCATGCCGAGAGGGCTGTACGTCATCACTCACCAAGTAAGTGCTCCTTATGAAAAGGATATCACTATGTAATAGTAAGCAAATTATTATTCTAAAACTGTCTTTCGAAAACTAAAAAAGAGAATATAAGAAAAATAAATATTCAATGGCTTAAATAAACTCATGATTTAAAAAAGTGTAACTAAGGGACGCTATTAAAGACATCATATATATATTGAAAATGTCTGTCGAAAGGCAGTTTAGATTTTTTATTGATTATGTCTAATAACCACAAAGCAAATAAGTACAAATATTACACGCCGTTCATAAATAATACAATACTTCTGGAAAGATGCCCTCAATGTGGCGAAAGTTGTTTCGAGAGCAACTTCCATTGACTAAATTTTTCTTCAAATATTTTTGTTCATTTAAGACAGAGCTTGAAAAGCATACCGTCTTAGATTTGAGATGCAAAGTGAAGACGAATAGATATTATCAGCTTTGTGGGTGTAGAGGACCTCTGAGCTTTGAAAAAGTCTTTCTCGTAAGTCAGTAGTCTTCTCTAGAATCCAAAAAAAAAACGTTTTTTCAGCAATTTTTCGAAAGGGAAGGAAATTATTGCGGTAAACGAAATTCCCATACAATAATGTACTATATTTAAGGTTCAAAAAATATTTTTCATGCTCAAAATATATTGAAATTGTCTGATGTTATAATGAGTTTTCTGAAGCAGCTGCAGTCTGAACTCGTGAAACGGTGCCGGTGATGGATGTTGTGCGATGCATCTGAAACAGTGGAACCATTTTCTTCTTCTTTTCTATAAGAACTAAAAAAAACACGACAAAAGTTGGAACATTCCACTTTGATTATTTCGATCAGACATATATTCTTTTCGCTCGCATCTGCACCGTTGTCTATGGCCTGTAAAACCGAAAAATCGTGAAAACGCGCTTTAAAGTCTGCCCGTCTGCCCGACTGCTCGACGCTTGGCCAATAAAACTGCTCTAGCTTTTAAAATATTTCGAATTGGCCACTGAAACATACTCTCGAATATTTTTAGAATAGATTTTAGAAAAATATGTATTTTTTGAAGCCTCTAAAGTAGACTACTGCCTTAAATGGAATGCAATATTCCGCAGAAATTAGTATGTTAGTTAAATGAGTTATGCAACTTATTTTTTTCATAAGCCCGGGTTATGCTTGAGTGATTCAAGAGAGCTCATTTCTTTTCATCTCTCATACTAATGTCGCAACGGAACTACTCTCTTTAACGCGCTCAAATAATATTTTGTGAAATTTAACTCACTTCCCCAAGGCATTATCATTTTTAAATATTCGTAAGACTTCATTCCACTTACAGGTGCCATCAGTTATATGTGAACTACACGCGCATACCATACAGCGAATGGGAGAAGAATCCTCAAGAGTTGGATAAGGTGCAATGGGATGTCAGTTATACGAAATTTCTTATCAATTCCGAGGGCTGCGGTTATCCGCCCACAACGAATTGCAGTGTCTTTGCGCGCCAATATGGGTAAGTTGGGGGAAATTGAATTTCAAGAACTTATATACATACTAATTATTTATCAAATGTTCCACTCTTACGCACACTCTTTCTCTCTCTCGCTCTCTCTTTGATGCACTACAGTTACTCTCACATTGGCGAACCATTCCCCTGTTATTACAGTCGTGCCTACCCGGAAGTGGTGATCGGTCGCTACTCGTGGGAGAATAATTTATATCATCTCGTTTTATCGCTTATCATACCGAATGTGCTATTCGCCATATCGATTGGTGTGCTCAGCTATTGGTATTGCCCCTGTTGTGACAAAGCATGCAATAAATCATCACGAGTCTATGCGGAGAAGTTCCCCTCGAAGGAAGAGTGAGTTTATAATCCAGAAACCAACAACTAACATTTGCTAAACAGTTACTAATCATCACTAACATCATCACAACTTTTAACAAAAAAAAAATACTAATACTACTACTGCATCATCAAGTACACTCGTTCATAAGCTCGTAATATTTATGTTATTATTTAACTGAATTAGTCAATGAATTAACTAACATAATCGTAATCTCGTATGCATAATAACGTTTTGTTAAGATGTTGTAATGGGCCTGCATTCCTAAAAAAAAAAAAACAATATTATATATATAATCATACCTACATATACATATATATCCAATTTGTACCTGCATAAATGAACCTCTGTAATTTGGCATGATTTTTCCAAATTTGTTATTGCATTCGTAAATGACGTAACATACATATAAATATATTAATTAATTTATTTTTAGTGCATAATTCCATGTGTAGCAACATAACATATACATACATATTAATGCATAACTGATTTTATATATACATATACAAAAACACCGTATGTACTCGTAGTAGTATAAATAAGTGTAGCTGAAACGGTTGTACCGTCAATTATTAAACTATTTTCGATCATTTATTTTTTTATTTTTTTTCTTTAATTTATTTTAAGAAATTTTAGAGAATTTTTTAACCTCTTAATGCTTAATTAAGTATAACAATTGTTTTCTTTTTAAAAAAAAAGCAGAAAAGCATGCATGTATATACATACATATGTACTAGAGCATTTTCGAGCAATGCGGGCAACGAGTAGTCGTACACACGTTCATTGCGCATTCATCGAAAAATAAAATTACGAACACAAGCTTGAGCAGTTTGTGCACTTCGAACAAAGATTTTAACTATTTTCCCAGCACTTTTTCGGTAACTTAAAATTTAGTTATGCAAAGTGTAAAAATGATTGATATAAAAATAAAAAAATAAAAAAATTAATTTGAAAGATTTGAAACACACATTTGAATAGCTGGGCAATGAACGAGTATCGAGTTGCTCGTAATGCTCGATATTCGGTAAGCTGAAGCTCTAATATGTATCCATTGATATGCATATGAAAAATATTAAAAAAAAATATATATATTTTTTATATTAAATTAATTAGAATATTAAAACAATTAAAATATATTTTATTTTTAATTATTTTGCATGGTTACTCTTTCTCCAACCTGCTACACATATATATTATATTTTATGAAATCTCATTGGCACCTATCTAACCAATCGGCTTTTGCTGTTGCTGTAATTATTTTAACAAAATTAATCAAAATTCAATTTTTACTTTTTTTTTCTGCCATTTTTCTACCTTTTCTACTTCATTTTTATCGCGTCAAATACTCTTTTTTAACGCTCATATACTCGTAGTGTACTCGTTATTGTCATGGACTTTAGTGAATTCATTTGAGACTGCTTTTTCAAATGAGAAAATTATCTAACTATAAAAGCAACAACAACAAAAACATAAAGAAACAGAAAATATATAAATGCATAAGACAGCTTTAAAAATATAAACATTTACTCTTTGATAAATATTTACAGGATTGTTAACTGCATGAATTGCAAACCGGAGAAAACGTTATCCCTCAGTAATTTTTAAGCGAAATAAAGAAAATATCAAAGCAAGTGCCTGTTTGAACCGTTTGAAAAAAAAAAGAAAAAACACTTATTATTAATTGTTAAACAATAACTTCGAAGAGGTTTTTAAACATACAATTTTTTGCAAATTATTGCTCTGAAAATATATAAATAGTAAATCATTTAGATTCCTTTTTCTAATAACAATTTGCGCACCATTTTTTGTAATTCCTAGTAAATCTCTTAGTACTGTTGGTGAATTCAATTATATACCGCTAGTTTCGAATGTATTAATACTTGTATATAGTTGGTTAAAAAGCACTTAAAAGCCGCGCACATACTCTTTCTAGTCTTTCTAGTAGACATTTAAATGAAAAATATGTAGTAAAAATAAAAGTTAAAAAAAAAAACAAATAAATAATGAAAAAAATTTAAGGTGTAGTAAACCCAATAACTTTGTTGCGGTGGCTTCAAAATCACTAAAATAACTCTGGAGCCCCTTACAAAAAAGTAAATCCATAATTTTACACAGTAACTAGTTAGCTGAAGTTGGAAAATTTATTATTGAAAAAAGAAACCCTAGAGTTGTCACTTCGATCGCTCTTGCTACTATCCTTCCCAGAAAATTGCGTGAAAGTTCTCTTTATATATATTTTTAAATATATTGTGCCGCTCTATACTTACTTTAAAGATTTTTTGTCTCGCTCCATACTCAGTGATATCAAAAACAAATACAAATATCCACTTTTGATTCACCTACACGTATACTGGCCTCGTTCATTCCACTACTGACAATCACTCTTTTCTCATCTGAAATTGAAATGCACTTTGTATCTATACCAGCTTCGAAGGAAGGAAGGAAGTTAGGTTAGGTTACTCGTCGTTCAAAGTCCTTTTTAGTCCAAGATGACGTTTCAATCTTGTTCTAGGTGGAATTATCGTCATGTATGTGGCTTGTAAACGCTTTTTGTGAGAACGCTGATAACTAGCTTTGTGACTTTAACGGAAAAGATGATCTAATGTTTCGCTCATGTTTGCCTCCTTTCATTTTCTACCTTTAACCAATAAGTTTTGAATTGTGTTAAGGTCTAGAACCATTAAGCATTCTATAGTCCTTTCGAGATCCCGTCAGCTGACTTTGAATGACTTTCGCGGTCATTTAGGCTGTTGGGCTATCAATAATATTCATAAAAAATATTAATATTTCTTAGAAATCAAGTTTCGCTTGAGAAATAAAATGAAAGGAAATTAATTTAAATATACATACTAGGGAATTAAAAAAAGTTCGATAAGTCGACCGGAAAAAAAATCTTTTCGTTTACGAATAAATATCTTTGTACTTTTTATCCCCTCTACGTATTCGCCCTTGATTTCAATGCCGCTTCACGAAACAGTCTTCAAAATCTTGCTTTTTAGGCTTATGAAGGTCAGCATTAACCGCATTAATTATTTCCTCGTTGATATTTAAGACCTTTCTTTCTAATTTTGTTTTAATTTTTGGAAATAACCAGAAATCTCGGGGAATATGGTCGATCCCAGAGATCACAGTAAAATTACTTGTTATTTTAGAAATGTAGGATGGCGAATTGATTTAGCCGTAAAAAGTAGCGACGCTGCAAATCCTCTTTCCTCCTGTTTTCCAACAAATTTTTGAGAATTTTGGGTAAGCACTCTTCAGTGTACCGTTATGCAGTTACCATTTAATCCTTTTCCAGTGAAATAGCAGCTACGATTTTAGATCGGGTGAAGTAAACCAGTAAACTGCTTCTGAATTTTGTTACTTAGATTTGACGGGTGGGTTTGCTCATGTTGAGCTCCTTGCCATGACATTCAAACCCTATTTATTAGCGATCATTTCCTGTGCCGATCGGAGATTTGCGTCAATATTGGGCTTTGCCAGAGCTAAAGTGATATCATCATGTCATGTATGGAAAAATTTCCGGCTTCGAAACTTCAAAACCCCTTAGAAATAGTTTTCATAGACGGTGCAATTGCTTTATATTCAATTTAGCATTCACTGAATATTTGTACTGACTGTAAACTACGCCGAAACCCGAAGAGAATCCCGCGGCGAATTTCTGTGGATATGAATTGCAAATTGGAAAAAGCTCCTTACAGCATATACTCATTAAAGATATATAATATCTATGCATGCTTACAAAATTCAATTAACACAATAACTGAAACGTACCTATTCTATTTCATTATATAAATTCGGAACACTCTTTATAATAGAAAGCCATGGAAAATCTTCGTCATTCTGCCATTCAGTCTTGCGGGCGAATTGTGCAACTTAAAAAACTTACGACATGAAGCTGAGAATGCATCTGAGGGAATGGTTTGGGTACAAACAGCCAGACAGATGGACGTCGCTACTCGTAATTCCGGTCGTAGTGGTCTCGATTTCGATGGGTTTATTTCTTCTCCTTTTGGTATTTACATACCTCGGAACGAGGTTAATATAACATTTCATGTACATGAAAGTTATAAAAGACGGTATTTAAACTCTATCTCCCTTGATAGTTTTTAAAATAAAAATACATAAATTATTTTTCTTTAATCAGCTTTCAAGTGATGAACAGTTGAAGATCGATTATTTAAATAATTATTAAAAAATAGCTAATAGCAGCGTTTTGACTTGCTAGGTCCGCTTCTAGGATTGGTCATAGCAAAATGAAAATTTTTTATTACTCAATAAATTTAACATAAAAAACACAGTAAAACCTACACATTAAAATACATTTGTATAAACACATGTTGCCTGCATGTGATATCAATTTTATTTAAAACTTAATTTTATTTTTCGCAAATTTTAGCGAGAAGCTTTAGTTAACTGTAAATGCACTAAAAGTAGAAAATCTCATCATAACCTTAGATTCTTAGTAGATTTTTTCTTCTGTAACATTTTTTGTGGTGAAACATGTGTGAGAAGTGTTTGTAAAAGTAGTTACTAGCATAATGTTTGTTTCAGAAATAAAAAATCGCATGAGAGCCTCTAGTCCTGTACGATTTGTATGCTGCATTCCTGCGCACGCGTCTGACTTTTGTGCTTGAACAAAATCAACAGAAAAAGAAAAAAGATATATATATGTACACATACACAGCAAAATAAACAAATTTAACATAAAAACAAAATTTACAAAAAAATGAGAAAAAAAAATAAACCAAATTCAATTTTGTTTTCTTCACGCTCTCACTCAATCAATGAATCAATCAATTTCTGTTTGTAGAAAACTTCTGTGTCAAAGTGACGACGAAGATGATATGGAATACTAGTGTACTAGTGAGTCTAGTTTAAATCTAGATAATGGTATATACGTACTCGTAGCATTAGAAAGGCTGCTTACACAACAACAATAACAACAAGAACAACTACAACAAAAGCAACTACAATTCACGTACTCGTACTGCAAAAAAAAATAGAAATAAAAAATAAAAATAAAATAAAATCAAAGCAACAACAATGAATACAATTTAATAGAAAATCGATAGCCACATTTTGTATTCGTACTACACAACAAATAACAAAAAAATACAATATATATATATCTATATATGAATATGTATGTAATAATACACGCCAAATACATATATACTTGGTGTAATAGAAATACATACATATGAACATAGCTAGTTATTAGTTATTATAAGTAAAAAGAAAATATGTATTGTAGTTACAACAAACATGCATACATACATACATATGTATGTACATAAATATACGAAGATTATCAAGAATGCAGCTGAAGTTATTATTGTAAATGTACTAAAAGTGCAATCAAATGTATGTATGTATGTTTGTTTGCTTATATGTAAACACATTTATATATACAATAAACACGCTAACGGTATACGCTTTTGTTTTTTGTTTTTTTTTTTTTCATTCTATTCTTTCACCTCTCACACCCCAACTCTGCCATAGTGCTAAACACCAACAAAACAATAGTCCAAGTGACACATTCATATGTATGTATGTTAGAGTATAGCTACTTCGAAAAAATGCAGTATTTACATACATATACACGTATGCTATGTATTATAAGTTATATCTAAAAAGCTTTTAGTTAAACATTTTTCTGAAATTAAAATTGCAATGGCACTTGAAGTTAAACTTAATATGCAATGCTTAGAGCACTGTTATTATGCTTCTCATATGTATGTATGTATATAAAATTATAAATATAGAAGCTAAATTATTGTAGGGCTTTGTTTTGCATTTATATTCATAAAAAATTATAGTAAAATTAAAGAAATAATAGTTATATATATATATATATATATATATATATATATGTACATGAAAGAGCTAAGAACATTACATACATATATATTTAGGTATGTACTATGAGTGTAAGCTCAATGACAGCTTTATTAAAAGAAGAAGAAAAATAATAATCTAATAATTAAAAAACATATGTATGTATATGTATTTAAATAAATATTAAATTAAAAAAATAATTAAAAATTATACAATATAAAATTTGTTTCACCGGGAGCAGCACTCAAAAGCTTTATTATAAACTTAAAATACACGGCAAAGCATTTCAAAAGCTTCCATACAAGTTGATGTTGAGGCAAAGCTCTTGAGAAAGCTTTCAGGTATGTTTGCTGCAAAGCTTACTCACACGTTTAAAACTCTCTTTGTGGTATTTTTATACACAGAAAAGCTAATGAAAGCTCTGCTTTGATATAAAAGAGTGCGTGTGAAAGCTGCATATTTTGTTGTGAGTTCAAACTCATTGAAATGATTTCGAAAAAAAGTCTATTTGTTAACCCAATCAAACTCAGTTCAGTTTTTCATAAAAATATTTAGTAAAAACAAAAGTTTTAGAATAAAAATTAAAAAATAAAAATAAAATAGTAAAATTTTTAGTTCTATTTATTTTTAATTAGGAAAATTTTTTTTAAATAAAAATTTCAATATTTGAATTATGTATTTATGTATGTATGTATATGTTGATAATTATTTTCCAAAAAAGGTTATTTGTAATAAGAGTAATTTGTATATTGAAGAAAAAGGATTGTGATAATAGTCATAATTAAAAACATTATTTATGTTCTTAGCGTGTTGTTGTACTACTAGGCAAAAACTACACAAATTTATTTCATGTTGGCAATATCTTGTATGTAAAGTAGGAAGATAAAAGTCATAAGCGAGAATTTTCGTTGAGTGCGTGACAAATAGCAAATATAAATATATATATATAGTAAATGAATTGAAATATTTCAGTTTGAAAATGTATTGAATTGGAAATGTAAATGGTTTAATAAAATTATTTAAGCTTAGACTAGTCAAAAGAAGAAACATCATTTAGCATTGCAGTTTAAGATGAAATGGCGAATAACACAAATATACATATGTACATATGCTTAATTACAGAACTATGCGGTGTAAAAAATTTCGAATAACCTAAAATGAAATTTCAGTTCAGTTGGCAAAAGATTCAGCAAATGTGTGAACACATTTTTATTGGTTTTTCACTTACAAAACTCCAAAAAGTACCTTTCGAAAACGGTTTTGAAAAATTAAAAAAAAAAACATAAATATTAAGAAACAAAATTAATAAAAATTGCACTTACAATAGTAAAAATTGCTCGCTAATATTTATTTTAATGAATTAAAATAAAAGAATTGTTAAAATTTTCTAAAATCGGAATACCAAAAAATTTCCTTTTTTGAGAAGTTAATTTTGTTACTTTGCCAGTGTTTTAACTCAGCTTTATGCTCAGAGCATTCCAAAAAAAGATATTTATCTAATTATTTCAATACTTTATACCCCCAAACATTTGCTGAATTGTTGGCCAATAATATTAAAAAAAGTAATTACATTTTCACATAAACAAAATACAAGTAAATTCCAAAATGGCTTTAAAGTATGTCAACGTCAATTTTTTCTCTTTTTCCTTTTTTTGGCTTAAGACAAAGCAAAAGCTAAACACAAATAAGAAAGAATTTTATTCAAAACATTTCGCAAATCCTACCTGCATACAAACACACAAAACAAAATACAAATTGTAACAAATCGATACAGGATTCTATTTACAAATTAATAAAAATATTATAAAAAGATTACAAAAAAAAAATATTTTTCTTCAGCGCAAAATTGTAAATTCTCAAATAAAAATAAATAATAATGGCAATTGCTAAATAGAATTCAAATGAAAATACACTAAATCAAATATTTTTTGCTACTTTGAAGGATTAATATACAA